GTGTGCTCTCTACTTTGAATTCTTTTATATGTCATATCACTTGAGCTATGCTCATTTGCCTTTGCTTCCGCGCTCTACTCCGATGCAAATGAGCTTTATTACTTGTACTCATGCTTATTTCATATTTTTTGAGTACATCATGTTGGCTTGGGTCATATAAGCTTGCCTAACACTTTTGTTCTTATTGACAAAAGCTTATATGAACCAAGCATGTCAAAAACCTCACTCTTTCATATACTCGAGGTGGTATTGTCATCAATCACCAAAAAGGGGGAGATTAAAAGCATCTAGGCCCCTAGTTGGGTTTCGGTGGTTAATGATAATACAAGATTATCATGACTAATGTGTGTTTTGTAGAGGCAATTAAGTTAGGTCATGGTAATGGAGATCAATTGGGCAATCAAGGTGGTCATGCCCCTACGATGAAAATCATTTTGGTTTTCAAAGGATGGACGACAAGGTTAAGGATGACTAGTTCTAAGTGTCGATTGGAGTTGGAGAGACACTTAGAGTAGTTTAGGACTTTGTTTTTCCTTTGGCCGTACTATTAAGGGGGGTATGGACGGGTAGCTTGACCTAGATGAGTCTAGTGAGTTAGGTGTGGTGCACACTTGTTAAAACTAGCACTAGGTAGCTCCACAACAGCCCTATGATCCTATGGAGCAAACTTCACTCACATATGATCGAGAGTTGGAAGTGAATGGAGGGTCAAATACTGACCGGACGCTGGCTCCGGTGCGACCGGACACTGGCCGCAGGGTCCGATCAGTTCATTTGACCGAGGAGATTGCGTCTGGCGAGACCGGACGCTGAGTGGTCAAGTGACCGGACGCTGAAAGGCAGCGTCCGGTCGACTCCAGTAAGGTTCCAGAAGAGTGAATCTGCGACCGGACACGTCCGGTCAGTACTGACCGGACCCTGAGGATCCAACGTCCGGTCGAGTACAGTAAGCATCCAGTGAGGGAAAAATAGGACCGGACGTGTCCGGTCAGTGGTGACCGGACCCTACCAGCGTCCGGTCAACACTTAAACACTGGTGTGCGGGTTGAACTGACTGGAGCGTCCGGTCACCCCGCAGAGGCACATAACGATTCGTTTTTCAGGCTGTCTTATAAATAGAAGCTCCACTCGTGTGTGGAGTCACTTTTACTCATTTCAACAGCTGAAACACACCTTAGAGAGTGCCAAGAAGAGCAAGGTCCTACTGAGGTGATTGAGATTTGAGAATCCCGAATAGAGCCCTCATTAGTGAGATCAAGAGTAGCAAAGTGTGCATCCATCCTTCTCTCTAGGCTTGTCGTGGTCAAGTGAGAGTTTGTGCTTGTTACTCTTGGTGATCGCCATCACCTAGACGGCTTGGTGGTGCTCAGAGAGCTTGGTGATCATCCGGAGAGCTTGTGGATGACCCAACTCAAGTTGTGAGCGGTTGTGGGTGATTCACCGCGACGGAGTGTCGAATAATCAACCCGTAGAGAGCACTTGATCCTTACGCGGATCAAGGGGGAGCTACACCCTTGCGTGGGTGCTCCAACGAGGACTAGTGGGGAGTGGCGACTCTCCGATACCTCGGCAAAACATCGCCACGTTTCCTCTCCTCTCTTTACTTTGAGCATTTCAATTCTTGTCATTTACAATCCTAGAATTGCCATGGTAGAGTAGGATTGGAACTAGGTTGATAAACTTTTGTGCGTTAGATCAATAGAAACACTTCTCTAGGCAAAGGGGTTAATTGGGCTAACTATAAGACTTGTTTATTACGAAGAAATTTAGAATTAGCCCAATTCACCCTCCCTCTTGGGCATCTTGATCCTTTCAAATACCATGGAACAACATCTATTCACCAATTTATCAGTTGCATTTTCATCTACTAACTTGCACTTCAAATTTTATTTAAGTAACAATTACAAGTTATATTTTATTTTTATTTATAAAAATTATTTTTCATATTTAATCAAATAAACAAGCCATTCGCTATTTATTTGCTATCAGGCATTTTTAAGCACTTACCCCATGCTTTTCCAAAGCAAGCCCTAAACAACTTTTGTCCACAAGATTATTTAAAAGTTGTTAAGCACCGAAACAGGTTGACTAGCGACACTTATTTGTTTGTTTTATTTACGAAAGCGAGTCACACCAGATTCATTTATAATTCCATGTCGCTTTAAATTTTTAACCCGAAAACTTGTTTTGCTAATTTCTCTTAGGCATTAACCTAGGTGCTAAGCAAGCTCGTAACACCAGATGTGTTACATTCCTCCCAGCTACCAAACAACTCTTTCATTGCAATCTGTCTTCCCTTACAAACGATGTCATAGTGAATTTCACATTTATGGTCGTCTTGCAGCTGCTTCTTTAGTTCTTTTGGGCCCATATTTGGGTCCTTCCTGAGGTGCTTGATACCCCTTGAAGCAACCCAGGCAACAGTGGGTGTAGTAGTAAATCTCCTCGCGCTGGATGAACAATTATGTTGAGCAATTAGAGTTGTAACATGCATTATTACAGAAATTAGAACATTGCCATAATTCAAAAAAAGAAGTCATACCATAACAGTTTTTGAATGACGTTGTTTTCGACCATTAATATGCCAAGGGCAATCTTGTTCCATGCACTTCCCAATAAACCTCTCTGTGTCTGTTTTCACAGTGTGTAGTGCAAACTCTTCATTAATGACAAACTGCCTCACAACCAATCTAAACTCAACCATGTTGGGGTACACGGTGCCAATATCCATGCATGGTTTGTTAGGGTCATACACTATCATCCTCTCCTCCGGTATTGCATCATCAACAGGGATAGTTGCACCTTTAGTGTCAACATCAGGGACTGTACTACCATTGTTTGCGGTAGCCTGATCATCATTTGAGGTAGAATCAAGACACCACAGCCATGATCCTCGGTTCTCGTGCCCAAAGAAGCGATCATGACTCATCCTCATCGAAAATTTCTAACCTTCCTTCCCCTTCATCATCTTGCCTTTCCTTAATCCGTAATTCATCCCAATTAACGACATGTCCCTGTGGCTGTTCTAGAATGCCACCATCTATAGGCACTAAACTAAGCTCAGGCTCCGCATCGAGCCTAAAAAAACACCCATTACAGAGTTAGAACACTACATGCATGCCATACAACTAGTCGTAGTAAGATATATTTGTACAACAAAGAGTAAATAATGATGCATACCTGGTAACTACATCACTCCTATTGCAATCCATAGCACAAGTACATAAGAGAATCACTGTTTCTTACTCATGTAAAACCCTAAGTTAACACTATACCCATCCCACAAATCAATCCTGAATATGGGCGCCTTGAAGCCTCACCTTAGTTCTGGGGCGAGAATGTTGCATGACCGAGGCTTCGAGGCGGGCGCACGCCCCTGGGCTCTGTAGGAGCCTTCGCTTTGGGACGACCTGTCCCCGACCACCGGGGTGACGGTCTTGACGAGCAGCGATTCTGAGGTTGGTCTGGGACGATCTGCGAGGAGGCGGGATGTAGGAGGGCGGCGGCGACGCGGTGGTGCTGTCGGGCCGACCGTGATGGCAGTGGCCCGGATGGGGCGGCGGGCGGCCACCCGCGAGCTCCCACCCAACACCCGATCGAGACGGAGAGAGAACGAGAGAGAAAGGAGAAATTACCGTGACCGTGAGAAGCAGAGCAAGAGGATAAGGTAGAAGGAGACAGGGATAAAACGGTCACGCCTGGTTAAAAAGATGGGATCAGAAATTTACAAAGTTGAAAAAAAACACGAAATGAGAAAAGAGCGTGAAACACACTTTTCATAGGGGCATTCTGGCGAAGCCAACAAACTTAATGACATTCTAGCGAAGCCCAGGCAAAATTCCCATTTAGGCCCCGTTCGTTTTATCGGGAACGACTGGCAGGAAGAGTTCCTGGTCGGAATAGCAATTTAATTATTATAAGCTTTCAGTAGATGGAATGATTCCTAGCGTGGTTTTGTCTGAACCGAACGGGCCCATAAGGACAAGCTCCTCCTCCGCGCATCATGCGTACTGCATCAACAGACGCCAGGTTTCCACGCCTCACCGGCTGCTATATAATTAGGCTCGCTGCACTGCTGCTTCTACTGCTCATGAGAAACCGCAGCCACGCCAAGCCGTTAGCCGTCTTCTCCCTCATCTCCTCTTGTCCCACGCGGGCAGGCGCGGAGCTCAGGCCCCGTTTATATTCCAAAAAATTTTACGCAGTACCCGTTATATCGAATCTTGCGGCACATGTATGGAGTACTAAACGTAGACGAAAAAAAACTAATTGCACAATTGGGTGAGAAATCGCGAGACGAAACTTTTGAACCTAATTAGTCTATAATTAGACACTAATTACCAAATACAAACGAAAGTGTTACAGTAACCAAAATCAAACAAATTTGGATCTAAACGGGGCCTCAGTGGAGGTGAAACTGGGCTCCGGCCCCTGCTTGCCTGCAACAAAGTTACGAAGGACAGCAGCAGCATGTCAGGCGATACTGCGAGTACTAGGTCTGTTACTAGGAAAGGGTGGCAGCAAAGAGCCAGAGATGTAGGAGAGTACTAGGCTGTGTCATAATATCTGCCCATTTTGTCATGATGACTTGCTAGCTTTTGCATTCAGTTCTAGGATGAGACCTACGTATACTGGTTGCTACTCCTACAATACAGGCTGAGACCTACGTATATTGGTGCTAGAAGTAGTTCTTAATCACTATTTATGCTCCATTAATTCACATGCCGTGGTGCTTACCATAGAAATTAGGATAATGTTTAGCACTGAATTAAATTAGCCCCCCTTAGATGTTGAGTCACGCTCCGCCACTGCACGCGGGTGGTCCGCGGTCGGGTGAGTGAGTGAGTGAGCAGCTTTGCTTCTCCATCCATCTCCCCATTCTTCCCTCCCTCCCCCCGGCCCGGCGGCGGTACGAGACCTGACCCCTCAGCGCTAGCTCGTCGGAACGGCAGGTGTCGGCGCGCGACCTGAGAGCACAGCACCGGGGTCAGGCAGAAAAGATGGCTGGAGCAGCGGTGGCGGCGGTCGACGTGCCGGCGGCGGCGGCCAACGGAGGGGCGTGCTGCCACGCCGCCAAGGGGCCCGGGTACGCCACGCCGCTGGAGGCCATGGAGAAGGGGCCCAGGGAGAAGCTCGTCTACGTCACCTGCGTCTACAACGGTTTGTGATTTCTGCTTCTATCATGCGTATAGGACTGTAGCCAGGGGGATACACATGGGACATACGCGTACACCTTGGAGGATTAGTCAGGAGTATTCGCAAAGTTTATTTAGTATACAGGACAGGTGAGTGTTGTTACTAGCATGGAAAGGGACCCTTTTATTTATGTAAGGGTAATTTAGCTGACAAGAATTGTTCTAGCTTAGATCCCCGATTCTTTTGGAATTCGATTAAATAGGGTTTTCTTCATGTCCTTTGCAAATGATACTACCTGTTTTCATAGTTTAAGACCGCTTTGGTCTGTCAAAAAAATAGGACTATACTTGGGTTCAGTTAGTTTGCAAACTTAGCGGTTAGCGCGCATGAACACTACCTGCTCCAAAACGTTTTCTGTTTATGACAGGGGTTCACATGGTTTCTCCTTTGGGGACGCTTACAGATCACACACAGTCACAAACCATGTGAACACTGCACAGATTAGATGTTTGCCTTGTTGGGAATTTTGTGTTCATGTGGTTACATATGATTTATGCAGGTACTGGAATTAACAAGCCGGATTACCTTGCGACGGTGGATTTGGATCCCAACTCTCCTACATACTCCCAGGTGATCCACAGGCTCCCGGTCACCCACACCGGCCCGGCGATGAGCTGCATCACTCTGGCTGGAACTCCTGCAGCTCCTGCCACGGTGATCCATCAGCCAAGCGCCGCTTCCTGATCCTGCCTTCGTTGCTGTGAGTATTATCAAATAAATGGAGATGGTCAGATGAATGAATCAATTGACTGACTCGACTGCTGACCCCGACTGAGAATCTGTGGTGTGGTTTCGATGGTTATTTGCAGGTCAGGTCGTGTGTATGTCGTTGACACAGCGACAGACCTGAGGGCGCCATCCTTGCATAAGGTGGTTGAGTCTGAGGACATTGCTGAGAAGACTGGGCTTGGGTTTCCTCACACGTCTTATTGCCTTGCATCTGGCGACATTATGATTTCTTGCCTTGGGGACAAGGAGGGGAATGCAGCTGGCAATGGCTTCCTGCTGTTGGATTCGGAGTTTAATGTCAAAGAGCGGTAAGTTCTTCTCACAGTTTAGGCCCATTGATATTGATGTGTAGCATGTAACTATTTTTTTTTTGAAACAAAAGGCAGGAGCTCTGCCGCTCAATTAAGCTGAAAGAATATTATGTACAAGAAGGTTAGCCGGACGAGATGCCAGAAATGCACCCGAAGGGCTAACCACCCCATGCGACGCAGCTGAGCACAAACACGACACACTGCCATGGGTCATCGTTGCCGAGAGTAGCATGTAACTATGGCCAATTACAGAGCATATAGCCTATTATCGTAGTACTACATCATGCTGTTATACAGTTTGCCACATTTACAGTAACATAAGATTAAGAACACACGATGACTTGTATAATGGGTGTAGTTCAAGTAATGTGCTCTGAAATAGCTGCAGATGTAAGGCAAATTGCTTGACATGTGAAAACCAGACAGATTCATTATGCTGATCTCTGTGTCTTGATTAATTATTAAGTCTTTGCACTTTGCTACATGCAGTTGGGAAAAGCCAGGTCATAGTCCATTGTTTGGATATGACTTCTGGTACCAGCCTCGCCACAAGACGATGATCAGTTCATCATGGGGAGCCCCTGCAGCGTTCAGGACAGGTTTCAATCTTCAGCATGTCCAGGATGGCCTGTACGGAAGGCACCTGCATGTGTACGACTGGCCTGGTGGTGAGCTCAAGCAGACACTTGATCTAGGTGACACTGGACTTCTTCCCCTTGAGGTAATAAATTATTGAAAATGTAGAAAACTGCTGCCAGAATAATTTTGCATTTGTCGATATTTGTTACTTTTGTGCTGTCTTTATTTCTCTGTAAATGCTACCAGAGTAGTATGGTGCTTCCAGAGCCTGTTGTAACACTTCTCTGTTTGTTTGTTTCACCTGCAGGTGAGGTTTTTACATGATCCATCAAAGGACACTGGCTATGTTGGCTGTGCTTTGACAAGCAACATGGTGAGATTTTTCAAGACCACGGATGGATCGTGGGCCATGAGGTTTGTTCGTGCTACATGATAAGTTCTTTCCCACCTAATGAGCTTGATTTTCCAACTTGCTTATATTCCTATGACTGCGCTTGTAGGTTGCTCTCTCTGTGAAAACATTGAAGGTCCGCAACTGGATTCTGCGGAAATGCCAGGATTGATAACTGATTTCGTTATCTCTCTTGACGACCGTTATCTCTACTTGGTAAATTGGCTTCATGGCGATATCAGGCAGTACAACATTGAGGATCCTGCAAAGCCTTTCTTGGCTGGACAAGTATGGGTTGGTGGTCTTCTTCAAAAGGGCAGTGATGTCGTCTATGTTACTGACGATGGTCAAGAAGAACAGTATAATGTGCCTCAAGTCAAGGTAATCTCCCCTCTTGAAACCTTCTGAAACGAGAAGATTTTTATAATTATTACAGTCCGGGTTTCAGTGGTGGTTATGGGTTATGGTGGTTCACTGTGGAGTTACCAAATACCAAACTACACCACATCCATTTCTACAAACTTTTGCATTGTCACGCTAGAATACTGGCACACTTGGAATCCTAATTAACCACAACACTTCCAGAAATAGGCAAATAGCCAAGATGGAAATACAATGGAATTTTGATTACTCTGATTCACCATATGTTTCTTTATAATCAGGGTCATCGACTTAGAGGTGGACCACAGATGATTCAGTTGAGCTTGGATGGCAAGAGGATATTCGTGACCAACTCACTTTTCAGCCGTTGGGATGAGCAGTTCTTTGGTGATGATCTTGTCAAGAAGGGCTCCCACATGTTGCAGATCGACGTCGACACCGAGAAAGGAGGGCTGGCTATCAACCCCAACTTCTTTGTAGATTTTGGCACCGAGCCTGATGGTCCTGCCCTGGCCCATGAGATGAGATATCCTGGTGGGGACTGCACCTCTGATATATGGATCTGAGGTCAAGGATTTGGCATAACAGGCTGATGGAGATCCCCGCTGTTGTATGCACTGTAATTAACATGGTATCCGTGCAGTGTTTAATCTTGTATCGTGACTGTTGCCAGTGGAATAAGGCATGGTTTCATGAGAACTTTAGATTAATAAAAGAAGTATCGATTCTAAATTTTCTGATTGTCGTCGGCTCTGCCGTCTTTGCTATTGTGTATTGTGAGATTTCTGGTACAGCAGGCGCTCTCGTTCTATCAGGAGTGGGTTGCAGCACCAGGACTAGGAGTATTTTTTATCACTATGCACGATTTGGCGATGATAGGACAAGCTCCTCAACCTCCTCAAGCTTGCAGTGGTGTACTGTGCGCTAACACTAAACGCAAATGCATGTGGCTCAAACGTAACACAGGGCCAGATAAAGGTCATATTCTGCAGCTGATTAAGTCCCATGTATAACTCTAAACGCAGAGCATTTCATACTGACCATCTCAAGGTTTAGTGTTGAGGTGCGGGGAGGTCACTTGGCGTTGTTCAGTTAGTCTCCGGTATAAAATTTATCTCAATCTCCTCTAATACCCACCCCCACCAAACCTAAGAATCCGCAATACTAATCCTTGCTAAGCCAGGCAAATTTTTAACTCTTTATAATCCTCTTAAACACCGTTCAAAACTGATCACAATGGAAGACTACTCGGCCACGCGCAAGAGGGAAATTTGCCTACCATCAACAAAGTAGTAGTAAAGGCCCAGATAAGACATTTACAAAGAGACGCCCGAAGAACGCAAATCAATACAGTGCAAAACCAACGAAAGAAAATTATATATTCCGTTTTGGTTGGGGTGCGCCAGGCTCGGGCAGTAGTGCAACGCCCGAGCGACACGCGAGGACCCCAGTAGCAAGCTACTGTGGTGGGCCCTCCCCCACAAAAAATAAATTTAATATCGAAGTGGGCACATGGCCCACATATCAGATATTAAACTGATAAGAACAGATACTACACTTGATCTTAGCCAAAAGGCCGAGAAAGGTATGAGTTGCTCGGCTGCCCAGGGGTCTCCTCTTATAGCGTTCCTCTGGCTTCGCTCGTCCAAAGCGTCCGAGGTGGGACTAAAAGAGTTGCGCTCGGCGCAAGCACGGCGTGCGTTCTTTAGTACCAGGCGTCGGTGCTACCCAGGCAGCGGTGGAAATGGGCTCGCTAAGGCCCATCAATAGCTAGCCCACCAAAGAAGAGAATCCCTCAGGTGTGGAATTCGCTCCGTCTCCCTCCGTCCTACCTACCACTTGGCTTCGTCAGAGTTTGAAGCGGCCATGCTGAGCCATGCGGCCTCCGCGTCCCGCCGACGCTCCTCTCCCGCCTCCGCGCGTGCAGGTCCGCCTCCCACGCGCTCCAGTGCCACGCCCTCCTCCTCACCTCGGGCCACCTCGCCGCCTCCCCGCTGCGCCTCTCCAACCTCCTCCTCCTCGCCCTCGCGTCCGTCCCCGGCGCCGCCGCGCTTGCGGACGCCGTCTTCGCGCGCCTCCCGGAGCCCGCAACTTAATTGCATTCGCCGGTCAGTAGACATGGAATCCAGTCCTCTTGCATCATCGACTCTGAATGAACTCTGCGTCATGTCACGCTGCAACTTTTGATCAGCTTAACTCTGAAACCAACATTTGAACATAGCACCTGACTTCATCAATAGCTAGCCCACCAACTTCAGTTAGGACTACAGGCTTGCAGCCAAGCACAGAAGCTAGACTGCTAGAGCTACGTGCATCAAGAACAACTCTGAACTCTCTGTGGATCTTTTGTTCATTAGAGCAACACTACTAGTTGTTCTTACAACTGCATGCTGATTGCTGATAGGAATCCGTCCCTGAATGTCTGAATGCTCTCTGAAAATAGTAGATTTCGCACATTTGGATGGCAGCATATCAGCAAGCACATCGGGCTCTGTCTCTGCTGTGCAAGCATGGTGCAAGCAGTCTAGCTTCAGCACGCCAGTGGTTTGCAAATCGCAACTTTGCATTCGCGAATTGCACATTTGTGCAAGCATGGTGCATTTCGGTGCTTGCCAATGCCAATAACGTGAGCTAGTGGACTGGGCTTAAATGGCTTGCGGGGTAGAGACGAGCCCACGAACAGAATAAGCCCAAGAGGCCAGATTTATTGGCTACAAGGCCATGCTACATGAAGGCTCCATGGGTCCCACTGGTGTAACTGGGCCCGCCGCAGCAACAAAGCGCTACGCAAACACGACTTAGCAACCACAAGATGAACTCCATTATTTGCTCCAAAAAAAAAAAAATGAACTCCATTCTCTCTCTGAAAAAAGGATGAACTCCAATGTCGGTAATTTTACTTGAATGAAATATCTTAAGTCGGCAGGAAAATATCTCTCTGTGGAAGACTCGAAAATACTAGGACCGATTTTTCTATTTTCATTATTTTGCTTGATGGTAGGTAGCAATTTATAATTCGCTTTAATTTTACCCTATATAAGAATGTTAACGTAAACCGTCTCTTATGTAGCCCAATGTAAAATGCATCATTATAAGCTATTGTGTGTTCTTTAAGGCTAAAGTCATGAATTTACCAACGGATGATTCCACGATTCTATGACTGATGCTAGATCCAATATGGTAGAGTTTTCTAAATTGTCCATAGCATGGTAAAAAACTGAATTTTCTTAAACAACTTTAGTGTTTCTTTGCAACATAAAAATAGTGTAGAGTTCGATTTTACTTCTTGTTCAACTAGAACCCATTAATTTCCCAACGACCTTCACAGTTATGGATGGTCTATTTGAATTAAGAAAATATTTTTTCTCAATTATGTACTTATGTTTCTTCTTTTTAACTACTTACTTACAGTTTTTTTATAATAAGTAAATAGTACTATAGAGTTAGGTTTTACTTGTTGTTCAAGTTAAACCCATTAATTTACCAACAACCTTCACAATATGCAAGGACTGTTTAAGTGAAGAAAATATTTTCTCAATTATCTTCTTTTATTTGAGAATAAGTTTAATAAAAAACAAAACATCAACGGAGTGAGCTCAACCGTTGTAACTGATATATCAAAATGGGATATCAATCTCTTTTCTATATGGCAATTTGCCGTTAGTTTATGGCTCCGTTTGTTTCGCCGAAAAAATAAACCAAAACATTGTTCCGGCTAATTTACTGTGAGAGAAAAATTCTGTTTCGACTGAAAAAAATAAGTTAAAAAGTATGGATAAGAGAAGTGAACGGGCCTATGTGTATCCAGCCAGGGGATTTTTTTCGTGGCGCCTTCAAAGGGCGAGATATTTTGTGCCGAGCTGGCAGGCACATCGCCATCCTTCCGAAGTCCAAAGCCGCGAGAGGCAAGGGCGCAACAAAACCCTAGCCGCTTTCCCCTTCCTTTCTTAAACCCCAAGCCGCGCCGCATTCGCTCGCCCCCCGTCCCGCCGCCTCTCCTACTCCGACCGCATCTCCCCCTCAGGTATGGCTCCATTCAGCCGCCTTCGTTCCGCTCGATTCGATCTATCGTCTCAAGTAGTCAATTGTAGCGGTGGATCTCGTGTTGCGCTTCGGTTCCTTTGCGGTTGACTGTTGATTCTTAGATGGGGGCAGTGGGGAAATGTCCGATCTATCGTTTCAAGTAGTCAATTGTCGCGGTGGATCTCGTGTTGCGCTTCGGTTCCTTTGGGGTTGATTCTTATATGGGGCAGTGTTGAAAAGTTGAACCATTGGGTTGAGGGAAGCCCGATCCTACGCGCTCCGGTGAGAAGGGTCGTGGCTCGCCCTTCGCGAGGACGGCGAGGACTTCGTATAGAAGCGCTCCCGCTCGGGGGAGGTCCGCGACTGGGATCAGTGCCCCGCCCCGCGAGATGACGGCGGCGCCACCGTGTTAGGGGAGCAGCGGTTCAGGCCCTCGAGTCGGCTGCTCCCTCTCTCGTGAGGCGCCCGCGTGCGGGGCTAGCGGTGGCTACGCACCCCATTCGTTGTGCGCTGTGCGAAGCCAGCAGCAGATCCAGTTTTAGTATATATAACAATGTATCTTTGTTGGGTAAATGTTTTGGTTGCTGTGAATTTTAGGGTTCCAACTGCAGTATGGTAGTTTTTCATGTATCTCTAGGGTCCTCGCCTGGAAGGAATCACAGATTCCCATCCTCTGATGTCTACTAGGAGGTCCGATTGGTTTAGGTTTGTCTCCATTGATGCATACTAAGGTAGTTGTAGGTGCTATTTAGATACGTTCCCTGCAACGATTGAATTAGAAACATTTTTTGCAATACCATTTCTGCATCACACTTTGTTACAGTGCCTCGTGCAAGGTCCTTACTGCTGTTCAGAGTTTGCTCGTGCATGCCCCGCTGAATTTTCGTTATCTTCCCGTATGTGCAGGTTTAGTATTCAAAATGGCGGCCTTCAACAAGCTCGGTGGCCTTCTAAGGCACAGTGCTCTGGCGAGCGGTGTCGCTGCTAGCTCTTCTCCTGCAGTATTCAATGCTGCTCGGCTCATGTCCACCAAGCTATATGTTGGTGGTTAGTTTTTGTTGTCTTGTTTCCTCTAATATACAAGCAACCTATGAAACTGTCACTTTTGTTTTATGTTTATTAGTGTTCTTTGGTTAGGTCTTTCATGGGGTGTTGATGACGTGAAACTGAGAGAAGCGTTTAGCGGCTTTGGAGATGTTGCTGAAGGTCTGTATATACATTTGAATGTTATTATGATGTGTTAGTGGCTGTCTGAATAATATTGATTCATTTTCCTCTGCTGTTGTGTTGTGGTTCACATTCTGTTTTAAAATGGCAAATATTCATGTTGCAGCGCGAGTGATCACGGACAGGGATACTGGGAGGTCAAGAGGCTTTGGCTTTGTTAACTACACCAACAGTGATGATGCCAATGCAGCTATATCTGGAATGGATGGCAAGGTGAGTCAAACATGTACCTCATATGATCTGTTTCAAGTAGTCAAACATATACCTCATATGCTCTGTTTCAAGTAGTACCATGCAGAGGAATTCATTTTGATTTGTGCTATAGTGTTCCTTGAAGTTTTTATTTGACAAATTGTGCACTCTTTTAAGGTGTCATTGTATATTGCATACTCGCAGGAAATTGATGGGCGGCCGGTACGTGTCAACATCGCTAACGACAGACCTGCAGGGAACCGCGGTGGTGGTGGCTATGGCAGTGGCGGTTTCGGAGGTGGTGGCTATGGTGGTGGCAACCAAAGCTATGGTGGTGGCTATTAAGTGCATTAACTGTCAAGATATTTGAAATAATGAACTTTAGGACCTGGCATGGGGCTTATGTGAGGCCTTATCATGTTTTGCTATTTGTGTTATGTTATTGTTGGAACTCCTAGATGCATAGACTGAGCCGCAGAATCTTGCCTATTGGTTTTGGTTGCTTTGAAAAGTGCAAATGCAAGTAGCATGTATTTCCATCGAGTGGATACATAATTTGCACACATTACCTTAGGTGGCTATCCTTTGCAATGTGTACAGGAGTATTACATGAAGTATTTGCGATTTGGAATTCGTTTTGTTTTTCAGATGCTGGAATTACTTCTTGAAAATTTGCTTGGCTACCATGGTTAATGGTGGCTTATGTGTTTGATCCTGAGTTTTCTGGTAACTTTCGTCAGTGTAGACACCGAATGCCCCTCTTGAGCCAATTTTATTCCACTGGGGTTCTCAATCCGTCCTGTCTGTTCTCATCTATTGAACTTTTTTCAAAGTAGAGGCGTTCTCATCTATTGAACATTTCTCGGCTGTGCTACAATAACCATTCTCAAAAGTAGAGGTGGATGTGCTACAGTAACGTAGCATTCATATAGAGGACTAAAGCCAATTTAACTTGAACCAAACCATTGTCAGGTTTAGGCCAATTCTAAGGCTCTCTTTGGAACAAATGAGAAATAGATGAAGTTAGAAGATTGGAATATTATAGAATTTTTTGCTATGTAACTCTTTCTAACGAATGATTAGGTTTCAACAAATCCTACAAAATTCATATGGAATGATGATTTGGTAGTTGGTATTTAACAATTTTTTGGGGAAAAAAATCATATGGAATGATGATTTGGTACTTAACAATTTTGGGGAAAAAATTCTACTAAGAGATTGAAAATTATGTTAGATCTTCCACAATTCTACGAAGAGATTGAACATTACGGAAAATTTTTCTTGTGCCACTCATTGATCATTGAACTCGTTTTTTTCTCTTTTAAACTCTTCGTACATTCTATCCAGGCGTAGTTCGTGTAGTTTCCATCCATAGAATTTAAAATGTTCGTGTAGTTTCCATCCATAGAATTTAGAGGCATCTAAAGAACTCATTAAGAGGGTGTTTGGCAAGGCTCCTCCTGAGAGCCTTCGTAGGAGCCGGAGCCGTCTGGCTCCTTCAAGACGGCTCCGGCTCATCTGTTTTTTCACTAAAAAATGACTTCTCCTGCAAAACGTTTAGTAGGGCTCCTTCTGAGGAGACGGTGACAGAACCATCCAAAATAACACGCTTTCGGAGGTGCTCATCTTCCACTAGACACTAAGCACTCCGAAAATTAGCTATATTGGATAGTTTCGTCGAGCACACCTCAAGAGAAAACTCGAAACAATCTACGTTTTACATCCATAATCCAATAATGAGTACGGGTTTACAATACTTAGTCCATTTCATACAACAAAAATTCTTAGAAATTATTTATTACAATACCAGAGTTCAGAGTGCAGTAATTAAACAGCGGACTTGAAATAAACGTCTAACGAAAACGATACAAGGATCCATCTGTGCCCACCAGAAGAATTCTCCATATAAAAGCTACTCCTCAAGCTGCACCTGCAATAGGGGTAAATAAACTCTGAGCACACAATATACTCGTAAGACTTATCCGACTTGTGAAAATAGTTTCCCGACTCCAAAGGTATGAAAGGTAATATGGGTTTGCTGTTTTCTTTTTGTTTGCGGAAAATATTGGGGCCGTTCGGCTAGTTATAAAAAAATACTGTAGCGGCTGAAAGTTACTGTTTACGGCTGAATTTGTGAGAGAAAAACACTGTTTCGGATGAAAAAAGAAGCGGATCAAGCCGGGTTTCATGTCAGCCGAACAAGGCCATTATTAATAGTTCATCCTTACAGTCAAGTTTTATTAGCAGTCATGATTACTTCATTAGCTAACCATTCTAGGTAAGCACATATTCTACTTTCAAGCAAGGGTTGAGCAATCAGAACCATTTCATCATCTTTTATCTTCTAATTTTTACTACGGTGCTAGACCATAGCCAAGTCGTACCGTCTCACAGAAACGGCGATTCGCGAACCAATGTATCCCAACTGGGTACCTCGAAACACATGCCCCGTTTGTACCCCAGGCACAAATAAGACCAATCCATTCCACTCCTGTCACGAGGTCCAGGTCCCCGTCCAAAGTTGGACTCCAAGCCCCCACTCTTGAGACCCGGTCTCACTATAGTGCTTAGGCCTCCACCTTTCCCCGCCTTCAATCAGCCGGTCTGGAAAGAGCCGGAACCCACGACAAGAGCGTAACGAGCCTTCCCGCTCCTATAAGCAAGTATGTGCTCAGGATAATAAGTCTGTGACCTGACTACCATCCACAGCAACGAACGGTCCTCAATCGACACGGACAGGAAAAACAATGTAACCAAGCTAAGCCCCGTGGCCATGGGACACAACTTGTTACACCCACCAATAACCATACCATATCCCTGTCCGGTCACTATTTTTCCTTCCATCATTTTATTATGAGAGTAATAGTAGTATTCACCTACTTGTGAGTAACTACAGGTTACCCACGCTACCGATAAATCTAGCATAGAAGCTACTCGATCCTGCACTAGTAAGACTCATATGATAGGTATATATATGCATGTGGTTTCCATAAAATTCCTATAACATAAATGCACATCACATATATATACGGTGATTATAAAAAATAAGAGTTATGCACCGAGGCTTGCCTTGGGCAGGCGCGGTGTCAGCTGAGTCAGTCAGCAGTGGCTCTGGGACCTCCTCCTGCACGAGAATCTCCTCCTCGTACTCCCCGACGATCTCGTCGAGCTCGTGCTCGCCGGTGGTCACAATCTCTGCCAACTCGTTCTCTATATGCATGCGATGATGATGACACAACAATTTAGTATTTAGGCAACAACAACTCTTAAAATAAGGATACACATGCTAAACTATTAAGCTAGCTCTAATGACTAATATACTAAGCTAACTATCATCTTCATCAAGCAAAGTACCGAGTTCAACTAACAAGCACCTAGTTTCACAAATCAATGGTATGCCTTTATTTCTATTAAAGATTTAATATAGATTTAAACAAGGAACATTTAACTACCCTAATGTTTAGTCTAGTCTAAGACTACAAAAATTACAGTGAGCACATAAAAATACAATGAAACTACTGTAAAAATTTTAGGATCAAAACTATCACCAATTTACCACAAAAATTCCTACAATAATTAACCTAACAATATTAAACACTTTCAAATGATTTAATAGCTCTTCGCATCAACACAGATATGTATGAACCAACTACACTAACAAATAGACAATAATTTGTGGAACCTAACAAAATTAGTTTCATGATTTTTGGACACATATACAATTTTATATTAATTAAACAAAAATGGCTCACAATTAAAAATAAAAAGTTATTTCTAATTCTTTACGAAAAAGAGGAACCGAACTGGCCTAGCGCGGGCGCGGCCCACAGGCGGAAGCGGTCCATGGTGGGGGAGCCCACGCGTGCGCTGGCGTTTTTACAAAAGAGACCTCATACTTGCTCCAAACTACGTCACTATCTTTTCACTATTTCTTTCTCTCTCTGACATTTGCACTTAACCCCCTAGGTTTTTCTTAATTCTTCCGCGCATGCCCCTAAGGCAGGGCGAGCGGCGATGTGGCGAGCATTGGCACTGGCCGGCCACGCCGGCCATCTAGGGTTCACGCGGACCTACCTAAAGGGTCGACCGCCATCTATGACCTAAGCGCCTACACTAAGCGGCGGTGAGGGGCAACGGGACGCACTAGAGCAGGTGGCAGTGGTGCGCAGCCGTCCACGGCGGCGGTGCAGTCTTTTCGGTGCACTAGGGTAGCTATAGGCCTAACCAACTAGCGAGTGAGCATTAGGAGCTTACCGTGGACCTGGTCGAGGTGATGGTTTGGCTGGAGACTACCTGAGCCGGGCTGGCCACGTGCGCGCGGCGAGCTCAACGACGAGCCACGGCGACACGACCACGTCAACGGCGCTAGGATAGCGGTAGAGGTACAGATGATGAGCGTAGGATGAAGAGGGAGTCAAGGTGAGGCTAGTGGTGCAGCTGGATGAGCACGAATGGCTACTGGGAAGGTTTGCCACCATGCCAACCGAATGTGGCCTTAACGGCTCGGCGTCGGGGAAACTCCAAAATTGGAGCTCGGCCGGGCATGATTTAAGGTGGGGTGGGGTCGATTAGCAAGATGACTTAATGGCAGAGCCAGAGACGTGATGAATCGGGCGATGGTGACTCAACCATGCTGAATTTAATGGCGCGGCTCAACGGCCATGGCAGCAGAGAAGAGTGGGGGGCAGGTCTGGCTCGGCTCGTCCTCGCCTTGGCGGGACGCGGCTGACTGCTAGCGGAATGGCACACGTGCACGTGCTATAGGCTAATGTGGTTAGAGGGAATGTGCGCGTGTGTCCCCAGCCGAGACCAAGCCAAGTGCGGCACAACACCATAATGGTGAGAAGATAGCATAGGGCAGCAAGGGCTAGCCCATGTGCGCCGTAGCGAGATGTAGTGGTAGCAGCCATAGCACAGCAGTGCGAAGCAAGGAGGGCAGCAGCGGTAGCGGGTAGGGCAGCGGTGGCCTACGGGGCACCGTGGCCCGTGGCTAGCCAGCCAGCGTGCGACAGTGCGAGCGTGTAGGGCACAGCTGCACGGCGATGCAGAGCAGCCGCACGTGGTGACCGCGCACGTAGGTCAGTCAGCCAGTGACTGTGTGCATGCACGAATTTTAAAGTATCCGTAAAAACTAAACTATCGGAGTTGAAGCTAAGCCACCTTTACTATGCTAAAGAGGGCATATTAGGCTACCCATAAAGGCTAGAACATGGTATTGTAAGTGCAATTAAGCCCTAATGTGAGTTTTGGTGTTGATGACCACCTAATTAGAGAACTAATGAGATTTAACAAGATGACAAGCAGAGAATTTATTATAGAGGATGTTACATGGAAAGGAGGAGCCC